TGAGGTGCAACTAATTGTCATGATCAGTGTGGAAGATATGCAAATGGAGCTCAATTCAAATGTAATCTCCAGACTCATGTGCCAGAATTTGGTCTGAAATGTCCATTTGGTAATATGTCTGCTGAAGGGACTAAAAATATCTTGTCCTTCAACAGAGTTTATATTCAAATTGCTTTAACCAAGATTCTTATATTTTAAAAGGACTGTATTTGCACCTAATGGTTATGAGAGTGATGAGGTAAAATCCCCAGAAGGTTTAGGTAGGTAAATGGCAACTGTTTAGGCAGAAATTTCCTGTTCTCTTTTACTCCTTCCTTACATAGATAAAGCATCACAAGAATCATGACATCTTCCTATGTTATTGAGGATATTTTGCAATATATATACTTAGCATATTATGCAGAATACTGATCCTTAACATTTTCAACACAATGGTCAAAGAGCCTCTGCATCAAATGCAGTAAAAATATGAAAAGTTCCTTTTTACAATTTTGATTTTCAAACATAAAAGACTAAAACTATGTTTAGCTTTGTGGTTCTCCCTTGAATAGACCAAAAGAAAAAAAATCCCACAAATTTATCTACCTTGGCATCTTTCAGTGCTGCAAGCTAAGTTATGGATAGAATTTCAGTCAAAAATAGAACACAAATTGGTTATTTTTATATCATCAGCCCTACATGTCATCACAATGCACCAATATAGAATTAAACAAAAGTTGCAGAGCACGCTAAGATTTTCAGGTAAGATTTAAATCACAGAACTGGCTCAATGCATCGGAAATTAGAAGGGGAATTTTTTATTCGCTGGACATCGCTTTTTAATTGAACTTTGTGCTTAAAAAATCAGACATTTCTTAGTAATAGCTGGGACCTGAGTTTAGATTAAACAGCAGTGATCATTTTAGGGACCTAAAAGAAAAAGAAATGAGATTTAGTGGAGGCAGGAATAGGAAAATATGTACTCTTACATGCATACATAATTTTACAACATATGAGTGGCAAATGTACTTGGGCAACTGGGACTCATTTTTCTGTGAAAATAAATCAGCCTAATATAATAATGAGTTCAACAAGCAATGACCAAGACTTTGAGGATGACTGGACCTCTGCTTCAGGCAGAGGAAAAGAGATTTGTCTGTTGCTTTTTTTTCCCCCACTGTTTGTTTTTTCCTGCAGTGCATGAGGAAAACAGAAAAATAAACAAGTATGACTGTACCTTTCTAGGAGGAACTGCACTTGCTTAACAGAGCACAAGGAAATGCAGCTTTTGTGGTAAAAAAGGAAAAAGATAGGGTCCTAATTAGGTTCAGGCATGATTTATAAAAGAATAAGAATTCTTCTGGAAATAGCTATGCCAGAATTTGGGTAAACATGCTAAAGAACAAAGGAAAAACTACTCTCAGCTATAAATACTTCCTGCTATTAATTATGACAGCTTCATATTTGCCAAAGGAGTAAATATGAATGCAATATTATTTTAAAATATTTTTCTTGCATTATATGAGAATTGTATTAAGGCACTGGAGAATCTCTGATAAAAAGAGAGGCTGAGACCAAGGACTGGTTAGCCCAAAAAAGAGAAGGTTCAGGGGATCTTATCAATGTATACAAATGAGTACAGAATCCAGATCCAGACTCATGTGATGTCCACATGAAAGGATGCATAAATTGAAATGTAGGAAATTTTATTTAAACAAAGGGAAAAAACTTACTTTCTGTAAGGGTGATTGAACACTGGAATGTGTTTCCTAAGCTGGTTGTGGAGTCTCCTTCCTTAGATCTTTTAAATACCTGACTGGACTGATGGCACTGAGCAACTTGCATTTGGGCCTTGCTCTTAGTAGAAGGATGAAGTAGAAACTCTCCCTTCCAAATTCAGTGATTCCATGACACATTTTATATTACTAAGTACGAATAAGCATTCTAAAAAAGAAATTATTCTGGCAGAAAAATGTAGAATTTACTAGTCTTCATTTGTCATACTTGCCAGTTAGATGAGTTACTTGTATTCTCTTTTTTTCTGTTGCCTGAAATTGGCCTTGCCCTTCCAGTGATTGCCATGACAATGAATTTGTTTGACATACCATTTGATTTACTATGGCAATAAGCATACACAAAATATTGTACTCTTGCACAATAAACTGTGTCTCTTTTGGGAGTTTTGCATAGCTAAAACATTACAAGCTGAGTCGGCAAAGGACCTTGAACTGTCAGAAAAAAGTGTTGTACTGGAGGACTTGGTTTTCTTCTGGACACAGTCCTCCTATGAACAATCTGCTCAACAGAACTGTAGCTTCATACATATATGAAAAAGGTTGGATCTCCTCCAAGAAAGTCTCCATCTTATCAAGCATTTTGACTGTAAGAAAGGAGTGGTTATTCTGACACAATCTGCTAAATCGTGATCAAAGCTAGGGATTCATGGACTATCAGGAATAGCATACTATACATAAAATAAGATGTATGAAAGTTTTTTAAATACCTGAGGTGGAGTTTTTGTTCAACGTTTATGCACTTAGTTTTTATCACTGTTCAGTCTTAATTCAAGAGCACATTCACATTCAGGAAGGCATTTATTAACATTGAGTAAGTTTGGCCCTAACACAGCAGAAAAGTAAGTTATAAAATAGAGTGAGCATAAGCTACTAGGCTGGACAAGGAAAATGTGATATTTAGATGAAAGAAATGCTTGTGTTTGACACAGACTGGGAAAGAATGAAAACAGACATTCTAGTCATCCTGGAGACCCAAACCTGATCCAGATTTTCTAGCAGACCTAGATTCTTATGTGTGTATGTGATTGGTAGGAAATCACATATTCCTTCACATAGCATTTTTCTTGGTACATCTCTCTTCCATTGTTTTGCAGGTCAATGTGTGACCTCAGTGTGTCTTATGTCAAGAGAAGTACTTATATAAAGTAAATGGTTATGATTCAAGGTAATGTTTAGTAGAAAAGGCTACTTTATCCAAGAAAATGTGACAAGGCCATGACATATGCCCAGCACATAAATGTTTGTTCTATTGCATTTCTAAAATAGTGGCTGATGTGGGTCAGCTAAGACTATCAGTAGCAAATAATTCCTGTTTTCTGGCACAGGAGATACATCTTAAGCATGACAGCATTCTCTATCACTGAACAGTATGGTCAAAACCATGTAATATTTCTAAGCTGCCACTTTCTTCCCCACACAGGTCTCAACATGGGCTGCCCCACCACACACTGCTGCACCCTTTATGCCTTCATCACTCTTGATGCACACCACAGTGTCCTAGTATGAAAAACCCAACTCCTAAGAACTCCAAAACCTCACCCTCCTGATTCAGATAAGTTGCCCTGCTTCAAATTGATACAGAGGCTCAGCTGGGTGGTAGAAGTCCCTGACTGTTCATGACCTTACAGAGGCTCCCCTTCTTGATGGTCCCCATTCTCAGATTAATATTTTCCTGACGAAGCACGTGACCTCTGAAGGGTGAAAGGGAAGGTGTTGGAAATCAGCCATGTTCTTCACCGTGGCTACCATCACCGTACTGATGAGCCTCGCAGTGCTATCAGCCCACAAGCCCAGCTCCGGTAAGGTCAAAGTGCCTTAAAGCATGCATATGGGAAAGTGCTGGGTTAAAGCAAAAATAGATTAGGATACCTGCAAGAGCTCCTCACGAAATGGCTTTTAAAGACAAACTTAATTCTAAAGCAGTTTAAATTATAGCAATGGAATTGCATTAAAGATTGATTTATTATAGTTTAAATTCTAGCTGCCAGCCACAGGATGGAAGAGCTACTTTTCACTGAAAAAGCAAGAATTTGGTTTTATATTTTAGTTAAATGATCTAATAAGAATGACCTAATAACTACAGACTGAGAAAATGATACATGTTGGCTATGACCCAGCCAGGTTATTCTCTGTTAACTGAATTAAACCCTGTGTTAAAAGAGATCCCTTTTCAGTTGCTTTTACATTATAGAAGTATTCTGAGCATTCTATAAATGCCCATTCATTACATTTACTGTCAATTTTTCCATGCGAATAATTTACAGCAAATGATCTTCAAAAAATCAATACCAGACTCCTGAATTTACAGAGCTATTGGATATGCAGGAGCAAAGCTTTTGTATTAACAAGAAATAGATCTAACTTTTCACCTGTACTGTACAAAAGAAACCCCAAAGATAAGAAATCTTTCTGAGTAAGTAATTGCAAGTTCTTACCAGATATTTACTAAAATTCAGTGTGCTATCCTAGCACTAGCATTGATGTCCTTAAGAGGACAGTGAGGTGTGGCGTGTAGGTGTTCTCAGGGTCCTTTGTTACATTCTTATGATGTTTCCTAGTGGGAACACAGTTAAAAATGCATGGACAAAATGGGGAAATACAATGCTTCTTTTCCATAACAATATGTATAATGCTGCCTTAATGTAGAAATAAGCACTTACAGCCATGGCCTGGAATGCAGGAGAGTTGTGTGTTGCAACTCTCTTGCTTACAGGGAGTCACTCAGATACACTGCAACAGTTTGTAATAATTTAAACAAAAAAAGTTGATTATATAACTTCTTTTATCTGTGTTTTATGTTTAAATAACACCTTTGATTAAGTAGTCCCTTTTCTCTTCCCAGTGATTGAAGCATTCCTGGTATTATTGGCTCCAGTTACTGTTGATGTTACCTCAATGATTTTGTGCACGAGACCTCTGATGCCTTCACTGCTCAGTGGTCACCAAGGCATGAGATTTTTGCTCTATGTCAACTAGCAGTTTCTGGCCCCAGGCAGGAGATATAGCACCAACCAAGGAAGTCCCACAGTAGGAAGTCCCACATCAAGGACAAGCTTGTAACAGGGATGTCTCTGTCAGACAGAAATCTCCAACACTAGCAAAGGAGGCCCTCTGTCCTCCATCCTCCTCACAATGCATGGCCTGTGGCGTGACACACCCATCAGCTTTGTGACACTTTTCAGAAACTGCCTCTACTGCCCATCCATATCCATTTATATACCTTAAATTAAGCACAGACACATTTACACACACACACACAAGGGATTGTCAGGTCTGAGGAGCATTGCAGGAAATCAGGTACTAGATAGTGAAATTCAGCCAAGTCTCCACAACTTGTCCTCAGAGCCAGAGGCCCCCAGCCTTGTGTAGTCTACCAGCTTTTTCTTTGTCACATAATTCATGTTGTCATTAGTGCCTGCTGGCACTTGTGTAAAAAAATATTTTTTCATCCTTATGCTTTAATTCTTGCAGAAAATGCTTCCCTGAGGAAGACCTTTCAGTTTAGAGAATGGCACCCAGCTCTCATACAGCACTTACAAGCGAGCCCTTCAACACTGGCGTGCCAAAAACAGCATTGTGCTGCTAAGCTCAATTCACTGAATTTGCCAAGGGACAGAGGCCAGGCCAGGGAGAATTTTATACACCCTCAAACACACACAGTTTGTGCCATATTACTGTACCATATGATATACTGAATATGGTAAACAACACCTTAATTAAAGCCTTTCTTTAGTACTTAGAATACCTATAAAAAGAGGAGAATTGTTAATCTGCTATTTTGAGTCTGTTGTGCCAGCCTTAATGATTTGTTTTATAAATATGTGTTCATCCACGCATGCACTACTGTTTAAACATATATTAAAGAAAAGGAAAAAAAAAATTTCAAGTGACTCACAGCCATAAAGATGAATACTAATTTAGTTTGTTTAGTGACAGGGATATTAACCCTAGCACCCTCTTCCTCCAAGCTCTTTGTTTCTACATTGTGTTTGAGGGCTTTTTCATTTAGAATATAAGTTCCTGCAGAAATTAACTGTGACATCTTGCATATTATTAGAATAAATGTGTGGATTTTTTCATCCTTGCTTCTACCTTGAGACAATAACAACGTAAAACTTCAATTTAAGATTTAGTCTGAGAAGGGCCCAGATATCTCACTGCTTGGAAGGCTGTGAGATATTTTGTAACATGGGGCCTCCAACATCATGTTGGATGTTTTAAATGATAAAATTTGTTCTGCTCATCATTTCAGAAGCTACACCAATATGACATCTAAGAAGTAGCTGAATAGCTGCCAGTATTTATGAAATCATAATTAATCTGTAACAAGTCATTCAGACACTGCTATACCTAATATCTTGCACTGGCCAACTAATTTCTAATCATTAACTGAAATTTGCTGCCAGAGGCAATAGTTCCCAGCTGTGTAATTGATTCCCAGGAATCAGATGCAGACAAAAGTAACTCTGTGTTAAAAAAATCACTTTGGCCATTATCATATAGCTAATATGTTGATTTTATTTATATGTCTAATTCTCATCAAAAATTTAATGAAGCTGAGGTGTACCACTTATTAGGATTGTACAAATCTTACATCAATAGTAGCACACACAGGAAATCACTTCTACTTCCATAGTGTACCTTCAGAAACTTTCCTGGGAACTTTAAAAACAAAGAAAATTAAATACAGGAGAAATGTTTATCTAGTACTCTTTCTCTACCTGTCACATACCAAGCAGAATAAGAATTTTGTGTATCATCTGTAGTTAAATAGTTTATTTTTTTTGTATGTGAATGAGCCCATTCTTAGAAAAACAGCTTTTTCTTTCAAGCCTGAAGCATGAAGGAGCATGTTATGCAAGCATGCAATGAAATATCTTTATCATCTAAGGCTATTCATGTTAGAACAAATAAAATATTGCTGTTGTCTTCAGTGAAAACTCAGCTGACCCTTTGCTAGCTTAGCATCTATTATGCAGCTCCCAATTATGTTTCTGTAGACTTGATTAGGCTTTTTATTTCAAATAATAGGGATAAAAAACTTAGCTTTCACATGTGAAAATCCTTCATTAATCAACTTTGTTTTTTAATAATTCGTTTGCTACTTACATAAGCATTTACAGGCTAAAAAGCAATGTTTTGGTTGATGGTGTTATTTCACCCTTTGTGGAGAACCATTCCCCTGAGTCATGCAGTATTAATTCTGATACGCGTGAATGCAACAATATAAAAAATGATGTAACAAGAAAAATAATTAGTACTTTATGCCCCATTTGAATTGTCAGGGTGTAAAAATTTAACCAGGGAATGGAAAAAAACCCAAAACATTAATGAGGCAATTGTAATAAGCAACAGAGAGCTAAAGTCAGTTTTTATTTATGTATCAGTTTCCATTACTCAAGCAGTACTAGAAAAGAGAGATTTGTCAGTGTAAATGAATTCATTAAAATACATATAAAGCTATTTTTAATAGAGAAAAATATATGTATTTAATAAGATTGGAAAAAGTAGATGATATGTGTATTCTAGGATACATAAGGCTGATTTGTCCAGAAGAAATTGATGGAAGTGAAGATGAGTGTCCAGTACAGTATAATACATGTGATTAACCTTTAGACATAAGAGACTGGAAAGAAACAGTCACCACAGTATTTAAGAAATTTAAAGGAAACATTTGAAAACAACTAAATGACAATAGTCTGTCAAATCATTTTTGGGTGTAAAACAAATGTACTTAAGCCTGGGTGTGAATATATTAGCAGAAAGGAAAAAAAAACACTTATGTGCATTGAATTAGGATTATTATTATAAATATTAACTAAACCAAGACCCAGGTTCAGAAAAGTATAATCCTTGTACAATAGAAAAGAAGGGGGTCTTGATGGGAAGATATTGGATGCTTTGGGAGAATATTGGTTCAGGTTGACAGATAAATAGTTACTTCCAGAAGTGCTAAGAAATGTGGAAGATGAAATCTAAAATGGCAAATATTTCTACTCCTCTTCTCTCCTCCCTTACATAATATCCTCTACACTATTTTCATCCATTTCACTAACATTAGCAGATGGATAAGTGTTAATATTTTCTCACTGGGAGCTCTGATCCCTGAAATGTGGAGGGACACCACCAGCCAGCAGGTGAGGGAAGTGATTCTGCACCTCTGCTCTGCTCTGGTGAGACTTCACATGGGTTGCTGCATCTAGCTCTGTCGCATCCAGTGCATGGCCCTGCCTGATAGAGTGAGAACAGAGCAGGGCCACAGAAACAGTCAGAGGGCTGGAACACTTCTATGAGAAAAGGCTGAGAGAGCTGGAGTTGCTCAGCCTGGAGAAAACTCTGGGGTGACATCATAGCAGCCTTCCAGTATTTAAATGGGGCTTATAGAAAGATGGAGACAGATTTTTTAGCAGGGTCTCCAGGAACAGGACAAGGGGTTATAGTTTTAAACTAAAGGAGGGTAGCCTCAGACTAGATATAATGAAAAAATGTTTTACAATGAGGGTGCTGAAGCACTGGCAGAGGTTGCTTAGAGAAATTGTAGATGCCCCATCCCTAGAAACTTTTAAAGTCTGTTTAAATGGGGCCTTAAGCAACCAGATCTAGTTGGAAATATCCCATGTCATTTCAGAGAATTTGTTCTAGATGACCTTTAAAGGTCCCTTCCATTCCAAACCATTCTATGATTTCATGACAATAAATTCTATGATTTTATGACTGGAAAGTGAGCAATAATGCTTTATTCCAGTCCAAGCAACTGTTCTTAATATTCTGGCTATGACTGGTATTATATACATAGGCATAATAATTTTAACAGCCAAAACCCTCTTATTATTTTTTTTATTGACTACACTGTCTTTATGTGTTGTTTTTTTTTTTAGTGAATAATAACTTTCTTATCTTGGTTTTTTTTTTTTAATCTATTTTTACTTTATTTTCTTCTCTATCTTGTTTACAAGGACAGGGATACTCTGATTATATCTGAACAATAACTGTAGTTAATGGTTGTATCTTTAAGAAGAAACCTGAATTAAATATTGTCTAATTTCAAAGCTATTTATATTTTTGTGATGTTTATAAGTGAAAAAAATTGGCATGCTACATCCTGGGTCAGGTAAAGTTTTCATGCAATCACATTTTCTAACATTATATTTTATTTGTAAATGAAAGACGTTTTGCACAATGCGTACTCTTTCTGAGTGATTTAAAGAAAAATAGTTACTGTGTTGATAAAACTCCACTGAAGCATGCAATGATTTGAGACATTTGAAGGTACAACAGGGAGACTGCATTTAAATTCACTTGAAGTACAGTCCAATGTAGCCTTCAGGCTGATGAATATGGACAGTATATAGGCCACAGGACACAGTAAATTTGCATTGTTTAACTGCCTTCTGAATCCTGACCATTCATTCATTACTGAGTTGCAAAAGACCTGTTTGTATTAAACTATTAAGAGAAATTATACAAAACCTCAACAACCAGGAGATTATGTTGACATCCTCTTCATTGTGTCACTGCCTTTAAATACAGTCTGATCGATATTTTATTTACACTGGCAATGATGCGTTCATTCCAGCTTGACTTTGTATTGCTGATACATTTTCATATTGTATTGAAATTACCTTTTTGGAAGCTGGATAAGTAGATGCAATCACCACTGCTGAACTGTAGGGGGAATGACTACAGTTAGTTTGCAGTACTCCAAAAAATGTGCATTTCTAAAATTCATGGGGGGCTATATTTGACAGGAAGATTGAAGCAATGACTGCTCATGTATGTTCTACTGCCTTGTTTAGGTTCTCAATTGAAAACAATAAATATATTTGGCCTTTTAGGGAACAGGAAGCAGCCAAGAATACATAAGCAGGTAAATGTAAGAAGTGCTCCTTTCCTTCACCTCTGCTGCCCCCCAGTAGCTGGCTAAACCAGGACAGTTATAATCTCAAGTAAGTCAGCACAGCTCAGGTCTATGCTAATACGTTACCAAACAGCCTAACCATGAGGCTGAGCTGTATTCCAGGCTAAATTTCTCTCCTGTGGAAAATGCTGCTTTTCAATTAAGAGGCTTTAGTGTTCATTGGAGCAAGAACTAAAGCCTGCGCATGAATCAACCTTTTGTTTCTTCCCTCTCCTTTCTTTTTGTCCCAGTGACTATTTCATTACTTTCTGATAGGGTAATTAATTGAATACCTTCAGCTGGAGAAATTTAGAGCAAGAGAGATATGTCCCTGACTATCTGGTAACATTGCAATTAGGGCACTCCACTGAGATGGAAAATACTTTCATCAAAATGCAATCAGATATGGAAGAGACGTTAACTGAGTCCCAGCTGAGCACCCTGTCAGCTCTGCAGCTGTGCTCTATGGCAGGAGTGGACACTTTGTGTTTTTTGTTTTGTTTGTTTTTTTCCAAAGGTTTCAGATTGCTTTGAGCTTGTCTGCAAGGTCCTGCCCTGGAGGTCTAATCTCTGAATCCCACTGTCACTGAGATGCATCATAGAAAAAGGGCAGCTTTATTGTAGGCATTTCTGTCATCCTGCACAGCAGAAATGCAGGCACTTCAGAGCTTTGCTGGGTGTTTCGATGCTATAAATTCTGGTGACTTCATCCAGGGTGTGCCAGTGTATCTTGCTGAGCTAGAGGAGGAACTGCAGCAATATTCTCTCTCATGGTACACTGCAGTGTGCTGGGCATCCTCCTCCTACCCGTAGAGAGCTGCAACTCAATGCTCCCTCTGAGATTCCAAGGTTAGCACATAACATACCACTGTAGACAGCCATTTCCTATTTCATTTAACAAGTTACAGAGCTGTTGTTGTGGCCAAGTTCAATAGGTAGTCTTATACTTCAAATTACCATTAGATTTGCCATTACTTATCTGTTTTGGGAAACGTGATTAATTCTGTGTCTCAACAGGACACCAGGCAGAGATGTATATGAGAGATCTGTAATTCAGAAAAAAATATGCTGCCAGAAAATTCAAAACAACTCCTGTTCAGTCTGTATCAAACAGACTTATTAAGTATCTTATTATTTTTTTAAAGGAAAAGAAAGAAAAATTAGGTCAGAAGATATGATACCTAGTCAGAACAATCAGCAGATTCACTGTAAAATGCATATGTGAAAAGCATAAGCAAATCATGGCCTGGAGAGCAGAAACTGATTAAACTTGTATAATTCTGTTTAATGCACTGGTGACCTGATAATTGTAGATCCTCCATTTTCCTGGATGTCTAGCAGATTTTTGTATTTAAAAACAATCTGAATAAAATGCATAAACCTTTCTGGAAAGGACCAGCTCATAAAATTGCTTTTTCAGTTTCTCCCTTAAGTCCTCTTTTCACGTCAGTGTGCTTTCATGCTTGTCAGTACATGACTATCTGAAGGGCTCCTGCAATGCTGAAAGTGACAGACGTACATCTCCATAACTAAGCCTCACTGCTGGTCAGAATATATCATTCCTTCTCCTGTCTATCATTTTTGTGTCCTATGGTTTAGAAAGACTTTGAAAGCCACACCTCAGCTCTCTGCACTGAGGGGCTTCCGAGAAGTTTCTTGTGAACTTACATCATTCAAATGAAATGAATGTGCCTGTAGTTAACCACTGAGATTATACACCAATAAATTATATTTTTCCATAGATTTTTTCCCAGATATTTTTCTATAGATATTGTCAACCAGACTCATACAGAATCTGGCTACATAATGGAGCCCTGTATCAACTTAAGAAGTAAATAAGAAGCAGATAAGTCAGCTGTGAGGCTTTGATAATTTGTCTTTCACACCCTACAAGAGTGCTTTCTTCTTGGTAGGCTATAAAAACCACCACCAAAAGGAAATCTGTTCAATGTTATCAGAAACCTGTCAGCTCTGCTGAAAGTTTTTTATTTCTCTAATTTAGTCCTCTTTTCTTTAACTCCTCTTTGTGTTTTATCTTTCCCATAAACTTACAGAAGAAGTAAGTTTATGGGAATTCTTCCACAGGAGAATTTTCTATACTTTTAATTTAATTTAGTCTAATATTATTGGCTTAGAGATGATTTTTTTTTTAATTTTTTTTTTTTTTTTTTTTACCTTACAAAGAAACAATGGCTCCAAACTTTTCTGAGCCTAAAATGACCACAGAATCCTGTCCTGGATAGGTGACCAATTGCATAGCCCTATGTTTCACAAAATATCCAGTTTTAGACAGTGAGGAAGAACACTAAATACTATTTGAAGATCAAGGAAAGCAAGGTAGAGTCAAACACAAAAGCACTGTTTTGAACATTTTTCAAATCTTAGGTAGCTACCAGACAAGATCACAAAGAAAATCAATCACAAAGAAGATAATCACCTATGTAATTCCTAAATGTGCTTAGGTAGGTGTTACATATTTGTATTTGAACTACATTAAATAGCTATAAATGCATGCAGTTGCCATCACCTTTTAAGTTTAAAAAATCAATATATTAGAACTGTTTGTAAGATGTAAACTCCAAACTTTGTTAATGAGATAAACAACACGTGTAGGTTATTCTGCTGCAGACACTACTAAGCAGTTAGATATGACAATATTGAAAATAAGAATAATTTTTGATTATTTTTTCATTTTGTAAGAATAATCATAATCTCTTTTGTCTCCCCCTTCCTAAGGACCTCATCCCTAAACATGAGCATGCCAAGAATTAATATACACCAGGACTGACAATCTGACTAGTTAATATTAGTGCAGTGGAAAGAGCATTAATATAGTAGTTAATAGACTTTAAGAAAAAGTACTAGACCATTAATCTCTTCAATAATTCACTCTATACTTATCAATAGCTAGGAATAATTATCCCATGTTAACAGGTCTTTCTGAAAGCCCTATCTTTGACTGAGGAAATCTTTCCTAACAGTTCAATTCTTAATCATTGTTTTCACACATTTCGTTAATATTTTAATTTCCTGTGTTTTAGAGGTGTTTCAAAATCAACATGAACACATTTAAATACAAATTAGTCCCAAGACAGTTTTAAAGAACTGACCCACACTTAATGCATGAGGTGTCAGTTTGATAAAGAACCCGAAGTGTTTCAAATTGCTCTTTTAATCATTAATCAGACCAATGTTATATGCATTACATTATTCTAGTAAATCTTCTAATAATCTTTTATAATACATGTCTCATTGACAGAGGAAATCTTATTTTCTATGATTTTAATTTTTCAGGAAGAACAATTTATGCTTAAAACAACTCAGGATTAGAAGATGCAAGTTAAAAAAGGGCAAGAGTACTTCTGTGAAAGTCGAATTCCGATACCATCTGCTCTTGAAGTGCTTTGAGACTTGAGAAGTTAAGCAGTGCTGGCAATTAAAGTCTATCCTGAAAGTGGCTACATCAACACTATGAATAAAGCAGAGTGCTGAAGCACTTGTAGAAGCAAGTGCAGGCCTTAAAGAAAGAGGTAAAGGAACCTGCTGTGGCATTGCACTTGTATAATTGAACCACAGACCCGATCCATATTTCTGAATAGAAGTAAAAAGTTATATCTCCTCATTATAAAAGAACAGTATTTCCAGTGTGGTATTAGAACTCCGTGAGTCTCTTGTGAGGGGGAATTGTGACCACACTAGGAACTGGTTTATAATTGCCTTCCTTTAGGATGGCTGCTTAAAGTTGCTAATTACTTTCAGGAAATCCATTTAGGACAGACTTCTTGTTAAGAAGCACCAAGCACAATTCTATACCAGAAATCAAACATTAACAGTAGAATCCTTTTTAATACCTGCTTATACTGAGAAAAAAAGCAAATTTACAATGTTTTCAGTCAGAAAAATTTCTATCCATGGCTCTAAAGTACTTTATCAGAAAATCCCTCTGACATATCACATACAGGACAAGATGAGGTCCTGTTCCACAATTCAGTCTCTGGGCAAGGAATTGCACAGTTATGCCTGAGATATAGCAGGCCTATGTGTAGGCTTCCTGTGCAGAACCATAGAAAATGGGCTGCAGATCACTCCTGCCATCCTTCCTCCCAGTGACCTTTAGTATCTCACATCCTTATCAGAGAATCCTTTTGAACAACAGAGGACATCTTGCTAAGTATTCAAATGGAAAAAAAGTCCCTTTATAGGTAAGTCCTAAATATGAGCCTCAGAACAAATCCACATTAGTATATAAATCCTAGGCATTATTTACAAATCACATGCAATGAAATGAAGCCGGTAGTCAGACCATTAAATACTTTGGAATATTTGCAGTATTTGTGATTGTTTTGCTGCAGTTGCTTTGGTTTTCTTTTTCCCTGACATTGAACAATAAGGTTTGAAAAAAATTCTTTTAGTGGGAAAAATACTTTATTTTATGATTCACTTATCATTTCTGCAGATCTGAAATCCCAGGGGACTCCGTGAAAGATAATTTCCATTAACTCAGACGCACAATGGCAAAATGTAAATATTTTATGTTATACTTAAAATGATACTGATACATTAAAAAAAAAACCCAAAACCCAAGGGAATTACTGTGATGGAGATAGCTTTCTGTATCTGTGTGGGTTTTTTTTCAATTCTTTAATGTCACAGGGTGTGTCATTGCTAGATCTACTGATATGGATTTGAATACTTCAGGAGAAGCACTGTATGTTAGCTTAGTTTCAAAGGTTTTCCTAATAGATGCATTCTCTACCCCCTGCTTTGAGAACTGCATTAAATTGAGTAAAATATAAATTATCTTGTGTTTCTTTATAGGAATGTCATCCTAATCCACCTAAAGAAAAAGAAAAACAGCCAGTCCCATTATTTCCGGTAAAAACTTTGTGCTAGAATACCAGAAAATAGATAAAATACACTTATAACAAAGGGGAAATGCAAAACAAACAAAATGATAAAGAAGTGAAATACTAATTAAGTCATACAGATGACAAATGGAGATGAAACCAGTTTGGTTGATTCCTGATGTGCTATCCTGAAAACTGAAAGAAATAGGATAATGGAGAGAGACCTGTGGTAATCTCAGAGGTAATTTCTTGAAAAGAGGCAAATATCTGAAAGAAGAAATTGCTTAAAAATGCAGCATGAGCCAATTGATACCTTAAAAATAGATGTGTCAATCACTACCTGTCAGAAGAGAACAGAGTTTAAGAATACAATTCCTTAACAAACAATACCAAAAGAAACCAAGGGAGTACACGAGAGAGAGGCTACTTCCAAACAAGAATATCTTTCTGGGAGATCACAAAATTAGAAAATAGAAATGGATGGCACCTCAAAATGCTGTCTAAGCCGTTTCTCCATCAAAAGATATGATCCACTAAATCAAAATTGTTCCTGAGAGATAGGTTTTTAATCTCCTCTTAAAAGTGTCCAAGAATCCTAAGGTCTGAGAAAAGCTGTCTTGAAAAATAGAGACAAAAATCCTATGCTATTTACAACACAGTCTGCTTAATAATATCCCAATCAATTACAAAAGCTGTTACCAGAGTTAAGGCTTAAATTTGAGAAGGACTAAGGGAAAATTACCAATGTGCTTTTCACAGCAACATTTTGTAGTCTAATTTATTTTCATTTTTTTCTTTAATCTTTTTATGTCAAGAAAAATTAAATTGCAACTACATGTGTTTTTTTCTTAGAAGCAGCACAGCAGAAATAATGTTTCTAATAAAGATATTAGCAAAGATGTTTTTATTTTTTGTTCATATAATTTTACAATTTTTTTTGTAAAATACATTGATGCATAGGAATTTCACCCAGAGATAATTATCTTTACTATAAGACCACTTAAATGCTGTTTGTTTATTTGGGATGTTTTTGACATGCCAGACACTTCTATTTATGCAACATTATTTATCCTTGTTGAGGATTATTACCTTGTTGAGGTATTATTAAAAAAAGGGGTATTTTTGTATCATGATAATTTTCTATAAAAATGGCAATTTGACACAATAAGCAAACTACATTACTTGATATTATAACATATCCCTTGAACTATTTAAATTGTAAGTTCAGCTCAAAGTGTCCTTCTTTCTGTCCTGTGTTGTGATATTTACCATGGCACTTTCTAGCACTTCAGTGTGGCTTTTTTTCTAAACAAACCTACAAATCTAAAGATGCCACAGTTTGATTATTACCTGATTGAAGCCCAAGGCAAAAGAAGAGTTACTATTGTTTTCCATAGAAAGTATGTATTTTCCTCATTTAATCAAAATGTCAGCCCATTTTCTCTAGAAATTAGTTGTGAGTCCCAAATGAGACTTAGAAAATTTTTCAAGTCAAAAATCTCTCAGATGTCTGACTCAAACACTGAACTTAAATTTTGTTGCTTATTTCTGATTTCAATCTTACACCCTCAATGTTTTTAAAAAAAAGCAAAGGAAAAAACACAATGGATTATTATCAGGAAGGTGCCTTGGATGCATTTGTTTGCAATTTTCTGATGCCACTCTGCTTTATTTTTTTATTATTTATCTGAATTTTAGAACATATTCTTGTGAAACAAATACTGGAACATTTGGTTGCTTGCCTGTAGAAGAGGACACCAAGCAGCCAATTCCTTGCCCTGTCTTCAAATCATAAATTTGTGGAGAAATTTAGAACTTTCTTGAATTCAAGAGAGGATAGGCTAAGAATGAATGTTTGGGTTTGATACAAGTAAAGAATTTTGTAGAATGTGAAAACAAGGTTTTATGGCTTTTGAGAATGAAAAAAAATCAAGTAATAAAACAGTGGAGTCTAAATTAAAGCAAAATAGGAAACAATTTCTGATAAAAGGACAGAGGTAAAATAAATAAAAGCAGTTGAGTGACAAACAAGAAGACTAATTAAGAAAACCCAGAAATTGAAAGAAAAAAATAAATAAAATATTGGAAATTCACAAGAAAATTAGTAGACACTACAGATGAGAAGGTGAGTATACCTAGGGAAAAGCTGAAAAAACTCCACAATCATCTGCTGTACACATTCCAAAATATTTGCTGGAGGAAGGTGTCCTGTTGATTTTGAGATCTGTATTTATTAATATAATTGAAATAGCAAAACCTAAGGGAAGAACTGCCCTGCTGATGTGCAGATTACTTGTTGATGCCTTACAGTTGTTTCTCTCAACATGTAATGCTGGAGAACAAGCTCTGCAAAATGCTCCTAACATGGAAGCTCAGCAGAAAACCCTGCACTTCAGCCCTTTTTTCTTTTTTTTTTTTCTTTTCCCAGTTCTTCCAATCTGCAGATATTAATGCTACAGAATGCCTCCTTCATCATTTCACTACGGAGCCAAGTAATAAAGTTTCACCTTTCTGCTGATTGGATCAATGCTACAGATCAGCTGTGGAGAAAATAGGCTGCATGGGAAGGAGAAGGAATCAGTCTCTGTGACATCTGAAGCTTTTCCCCTTGTTCTGTTAGTGCAATACCAGCGTTAGGATGAGAACACTGAAGGCCCTAAGGACAACATGGAGATTATGGGAAGGATAAATCCTTCTCATAGATCCTCTTCTCAGGGCACAGAGCAGCCATCTGGACAGTTGCTGTGCTAGTCTTTATTCATAGAGGCTATATGTACCTCAGGCTCTGAATAACCATGAGGGTTTACTGATTGCAGAACATTTTCTGATATTAAATACTGTACTTAGAGTGACATAGCAGTCAATAGCAGACACAACTGAGAATATGGATTTGGTTGGGCATGGGAAGCCATGGTTTTCAAATCACTTTCTGATTCTGTAATAGCTGACTCAAAAGTCCAGCTGTGATATGCAACTATAGAGCATTATAGCCATTTGAAAGCTGTTTGAACACACTGAACATGAAAAGTAAATTCTAATGAGCTATTTATCTCATCAATACATTTTGTTGTCCTTTATACTGACAGCCTTCACCAGGATTGCTATGGTATGTCTTTCAGTAAATACTGTTTTATTACTATGTGGGTCAGAGACAAAGAGCCCCATAAATAAAAACCTTATACTTGACACAGAAGGGTTGTTAAGCATTGTGGTATCTCCTTTGCATTGTGAAAAATAAAATGATACAGTTTTATTGGGGAAATAATTGAATTTGGTAGAGAGAATTATCTCTGGTTTCAAAATTATTTACTCTCTACTTTCTGAAACAATCCATTATTGTAGGAACTATAAAGAAAAGTCACCTAATTTCCTTATCTTTCAGGTAAGTATGAAGCAAAACACAATGATGTCTGGAATGATCAAGTCTAAGTACATATACATAGGAATAGAATAATGTTTTGAGTGGGTATTTTAAGTAGTTATGGATGGTTGGTTTGATTAGAAGTGATTATTTAAACAACCATAGGCAGCTGGCTGAACATAGTACCGTACTTACTGACTTCTCTTGGAAATCTTGGCATCTTTTGAATCAGAAACAGAATAGCCATGGGCAATGAGATATAAGAAAGAAAACTTTGTCTTCTTTCCCCACCCTTTCCTGGTGCTTTTAAGTAGGTTGGTTTCTGTGAATGGTCACTGTTCACTCTACTACACTGAGGGGTGAACCTAGTGTGCACATTGAATAAGACACGATACTGAATGCTCTCCAGAAAAGTGCTGCCTTTACTTTTAAGTTGATGGAAAATGATGATCAATGAGAGCTGAGGACAACTTCTTTCTATCATTAGCTAAATAATGAATAATTGTCATTCTTTATTCAGTGGTATGATGTTCCTGTAAATCTCTTAAGAAATGAGAATGAAAGCATAGTAGGTAATCATTGAGTTTATGACTGCATTTGAAACATCAGTGACAAGTCCTTTATTTCTGTTAAAATGCTCCCTTGATGTATTTTTGGATGTTTGAAGAAGGCAGGAGTAGTTATTTTTTACCATTATTTCAAATGTGTTGTTCAGTACATAAAATTTTCATCTCAATCTATGGAAATAGAGTGGAATCTTATATAAACTGTCTTCTGCTATTTTTTAGTTTGCTGAAAGAGATATACTTTCATTTTGTAAGGCTAAATTGGAAAATCAAACCATTATTTTCCTTCATATATTAGCCTTATATGTATTTTTACTACTAATAATGTGTATATAATACATATTTTCCTTGAACCGTACTTTAAAATTGAGGTGCTATAATTTAGAAGAATGTAGAAAGAACTTTGGTAGGATTTTCACTGAAAGAAATAAGATTGGTAATAATAATCAGATTTTTTTGAAAGGCATTGTTAATGCAGAAGTATCAGTTCTCTTTATAGAATTCAAAGTTTTCCACAGCTTTGTTTTGGACTGTTGTGAACTTTCATTCTGAACTTTCAAACTTCAAGCTGGACATCTTCCAGCAACACAGACAACACTGAAGTCTTCCCTGGACTTACTTTTGGCTGTAATGGAGTTCTTTTTCTTCATGGCAGTCTGTATGGTGCTGTGTTTTGAATTTCTGACTAAAGCAGGATTGATAACAAACCAGTTTTGGGGCTGTTGAGGAGCAATTCTTGCACATCAAGGTATTTTTATTTTCCTTGTCTATCCCCCTCAAAGGCTGTAGGCTGGCAGTGGGCAAGAAGCTGGCAGTGGACACGGCCAGGAGAGCTGACCCAAGCTGTCCAAAGGGACCTGCCACTCTATGTGACATTGTGCTCATCTATAAAAAGAAAGCAGGAGGAAGGGGGATTATTTGTGGTAAAGGTTTTCATTTTCCCAAGTAAACTTTCCATATGCTGGGTTTTCCCCAAAATACCTGGACATTTGCCTGCCAAATACAAGCAAATTCATTAATTTTCTTTGTTAGTGCACACATTTTACTTCACTTATCAAGCTGCCTTTATCTTGACCCATGAG